TCTTCTTCAGACTTTTTTCTCATCTCCCTTTCCAATAGCCTTCTAAATATATGTCAAAAGCATTTACTTTACCTGGCTTTTCTTTTCAGTCTTGCTCTACTGCCTTTTTTAAAGTGAATGGCTTGGATTAGGGACATGTGTTAACTCTGAAGAGTTGTCGAGGAAAATACTAATGTTGCTGAAATTGACTTAATTTCTGCATGCTAATGTTTTGTACCATTTATTTTGAAGAAGCATGTGAGTAAAGCCAGAGTCTCAGTTTTTCAAACGAATTGAAGGATGGAGGAAGTTGATGGTTATTATACTCACAATTAGTTATTTCAATATCCAAAAGAAATTGCTAGCACATTTTCCCTTTAATTCACTGTTATAAATGTATTTACTATTTCTCATGGTTAATTCATGGATGCATGCATCCTAAGACATTTTTTGAAATTTAAATCAAATACATGTCTTAATGACTCAGGACAGACTTGGCAATCCAAGAATTTCTTTATTTTAATTCCCTTTTTAGCTAAAAATGGAATATCTTACCGTGCTTTGTCACTTATTTTTTTTCCATTTAGTTTATTGGTACATTTTAGGTATACAATACAGTTACATGCCTCATTGGGATCTTGTACCTTTACATGATGTATCTTGGTTCTTATTTTTTCCCCATTCCCCTGCCCTCCCTTCACCCCTTCCACCCTTCCCTATTTGCAAAGACTTTGTTTCCATGTTTTTCCTTTTCTTATATTTTTTCTTTACCCTTCTTTCCTTTCCCCTTCCCCTCCCACTTCCTCTATTCCTTTAAACATTTTCTTCCTATTTCACAATATCAATTATACATTTTGATTCTTATTTACACTTTTAGTTTTTCACACCAGAGAAGCTATTTAGTATATACACATATGTGTCCTATTTATTTCACTTAAAATTTGGGCTCAATGTGCATCCACTTAGCTATAAACGTCTCTAGTTTCTTATTCTTTATGGCTGAGTAGTACTCCATTTTATAAAAAACTCACATTTTTTTTTTTGGTACCGGGGATCAAACTCGGGTTCTTGCGTTTGCACAGAAGGCGGCCAAACCACTGATCTAAATCCCCGGCCGTCCCACATCTTCTTTATCCAATCTCCAGTTGATGGGCAATCGGGCTGTTTCCAAGTTTTAGCTGTTACAAACTGTGCCGCTATAAACATGGATAAGCATATATCACTGTGGTATGATTCTTTTAATGCTTTTGGGAAGATACCCAGTAGAGGAATTATGCTTTGTCACTTATAAAAAAATTTTTATGGACTATTAAAAGTTCAAAGTTATGTCAATATTTTTGCCAGCAAATGTTTAAGGACATTAGCCTTGCATGGGAGGCCATCTTTTGCACAAGAATGGTTGATAGTATTCATATTATATAATTTCAAGGACATTATAGACAATTCTCTAATAGTAGGGGGGGAAATTTATCAAACATATTTTGATCTGGATGTAGGTTATTGTGTGATATTCAAGCTGAGATCAATTCCTGAACTTCCTTTAGGAGGGAATAATGTTTTCATTCCATGATTATAAATGAGGTTAAATTGAAAGATGATAATTATGACTAACAATATCTAGAATATTTTAAATATTTTCTATTGGCTTGCCAGTGTGTTAAGATCTCTACATAATTATCTTAGTTTACCCTTATACTGACCCTAACTTGAAGGTGTTAACATCTTCATTTTATTGATGAGAAAACTAGGCATAGAAATGCAAAGCATTCCTTCAAGTCAAAAAGCAAGTAAGTGACAGACCTGATATTTAAACTAAGTCTCTAACTAAGGTATACTTTCTCTCCAAATATTCTCTGGAAATCAAGAAATACTGACTTAATTTTAAAGTTACATCAATGATTAAAATTAGATCCATATTTTGAAACCAGGTTATAAATGATAGAAACAAGCAGAGAAGCACAGGATACTAAAAATTGGGAAGGAATTTGGGATATACCAAAAATAAATGATCTGCAGAACAGAAGGTTAGAGAAACAAAGACAATTCAAAGTCACCCAATTTCATAATTTTGCTAAAGGCTAACCCTGGAAGAAGGGACTATTAAAACTAAAAATATATATCAAGACTAAAAATATTCCTATTATTGGACCAAGAAATTCCAAATATACTACATAGTTCTTTATATATAACTTAAAATTCCAGCCCACAAAAATAAAACAATTGTGACAAAGATGTGACCTGTCATTATTTAATATTAAAAATTAAAGCAAAATTTATTTTAAAATAATGAAATATATTAAACATTGGGAAAGGTTAACCTACAGAAACTTGTCTTAATGGAATATTCAGCAACTGTTAAAATTATGTTAAGACCAAGCAGTAAAATGAGATTACTGTAAAGAAAAAATAGGACTTAAAATTTCATCTACATTATGATCAAATCTATATACCACAAATAATAGTAAAACTGTCTTACATGTTTTATATGGTTTTATATGTTATTGACCTATTAGTCTAGTTTTTAATCTGTATATAAGATAGTTAACTTTATAAGATCTTGTAAGATAAATAAATGAATCTAATGCTGGCAAAATAAAAGGGGGGGTTAGAGGGAAGAAGGATAAGTTGAAATGTGTTATGTAGATGTACCAATTTTCTGCAGTGAATGTAATTATTATGTACAGCAAACATGTACTAATAAAAGTTTAAAAATTTAAAAAATATGATGGGGAAAGCAGTTAGGAAGTGGACTAAATAAATTTTATAAATGGTAGAACTATAAATGTTCTTTTATAAGAAAAACATAAAATACTCTAAATTAAAAGAGTGAGACTAAGGGCCAGGGATTTAGCTCAGTGGCACCATGCCTGGCTCTCAAGCACAAGGTCCTGAGTTCAATCCCCGGTACCACGGTACCAAAAAAAAAAAAAAGAGTGAGAATAAGAGAATACTTCACAGAGGAATGCACATGACTTTCATCCTGATGTATTTTCTTCTCTGAGAACCAAAAGCTTAGTGTCATTTCTTTGTTGTGACAGGCACTGCTAATTGCATATCCATTCTTCCCCCTTTAATTGACTCAAAGAACATTCCTTTGTTTGGCAGTGGAAGTGGGCATTGTGTCCAAGACCCTCTTGCTAGTAGGAATGCCTAACTATGAAGAATTGTCTTTTCCAATAACCTCTAAATAATGTTGTTATATTTTACAAACAAAAATGCAAGACACCCAGTTAACATTTGAATTTCAGGTAAACAGTGATTTTTTCAGTATAAGTACATTGAAATATTTCATGAGATACAATTATACTAAAGCATTTATTCATTGTTTATCTGAAATTCCAATATAACTGGATATCCTGTATTTGATCTGGCAACCCCCCATGTAAAGAATGTGGAAACCTAAAGTTCCTTGACGCAGGATTTATTAATAATAGCGTAGCTATATTTGTTTATATTGTATTTTACCACATGTAACAGAAACCGGGCTATAATGATTTAATAAAGTAAGAGTTCATTTTTCTCATATAACAAGATGTTTGAGAACAAGCAATCCAAAGAGAGTATAGTTGTTCAAGAAATGAAGGAACAAGCCTCCTTCAAATCTCTAATTCTCGCTCGACAGTACATGTCTTTGGTTCATGATCTTTGCAAATAAGATGGCCCCATCTCTAAATATCTAGTTGGGTTATATCCTGGAGAAAGAAGAGAATAGAAGCAAAGAGAGAAGTGTACCTGGCCATTTTGTCCATGCTTTCTCTTCCTTTTGTTCATCATCATCCTTATTATTTTAATCAGGAAACAGTTTTAGGGGAAGGTTCACCTAGTGACTTGGATTGTGCCCCTTAGCTTTCTATGTCATTATTCCTTATCTTCTATCAGAAAACCTTCTCCATCCAACAACAATAGCAACACTTTCTCATTGTTCAAAGTCCAGCGTAAGCTCCAGTACCTCCTCCAAACATGCTTCTTGTATGTCACTGCTCTCTGGTCTCTTAACATTCAAGCACATGAGTATGTTCAATACATGTTATTTCTAAATATTCTTGTTGGTATTGTTCTTGTTTTTTGTGTATTTTTAATACCTTGATAAGTGGACTGCATGGTTCTTGGAACAAGGGACCATGCCTTATTCACCATATGCCAGCCTCTTAATCAATAATGTTTGTTGATGGGCTTACCCGCATCTGCACAAAGCTTAACTGAATTTCATGAGAGACTTCTAAGTTTAAGCTGGGAATAGCAGAATGCCTTTCATTTTACTTTATGTATTTACTCATTTAATGCTTCATTGCATGTGCAATACATTTACATGGTTTTAAATTCCAAAGATATGAAAGATTATGCAGTGTGAAATATCTGCCTCTCACATTTTCCCCCCAGTCATCCAGCGTCTCTCCCCATGCAACTGACCTCATCAGTTCTTTGTATTCTCTGGAGAAAACTTCTGTGTTCACAAGCCAATGTGCATAATTTAAAATTCATTATGAATATTAAACATTCACTGTGCACTGAACTTTATGCCAGGCACTGGGTTAAATGTTTTGCATTCAACCCTCCCCAAAACTCAATGGGGCAGATGTTCTTAATTATCCCCATTTTGCAGATATGGAGACTGAGTTTCACATATTTTCTCTGTGTGGAATCTTCTTATTAAAAATGTCTAACTTAAACCAAGTCTTAAAAGATTATATAGCCCATATAAAGGAAGAATTACTTCCATGTATCTGGAGAGCATAAGACCTATGGTTGCCTAGTTCTTGCTTAAGGGAGTATAGTTGTGATAAATGAAGATTTGTGACTTGGGTCCTTTATCTCAAGACAGAATTTCACCTTACATCTAGGTCAGTACAGCAAGATGTTGTTATAAAAAAGCCATGTATCTAGCTGGGCACGGTACTGCCTGGATGTAATCCCAGCCCTCAGGAGGCTGAGGCAGGAGATTCACAAGTTCAAGCCCAGCTTGGGTTACATAGCAAGTTCAAAACCAACCTAATCAACATAATGAGACCCTTTCTCACCACCACCACCCCAACAAATAACCATGCATCTATTGGAAGTATTTCTCTAATTATATAAAAGGGGAAGGGTCTGCAGGAAGTGATAGAGTGGCTTTTGTGTGGATGTGCTGCTGTGATCAAACCTGAGGCCCTGCACATGTTGAGCAAATGCTATCCCTCTGAGCAACAGCCTGGGCCCTTGTTGATCTCTTCAAGGCTTCTTAATCAGAATTCTTGTCTCTTTGCCTTTATTTCAGACTCTTCCGTGCTCCTCTGATTTGCATCCTCTTTTCCTTTCTCTTTGTCCTGATTCATCTGTCTTCCTTGTTTCTTTCTCCATGATGCTTGCCAATGGGCCCTTTTCTAGGAAGCTGCTGATTGCTTCAGTGTAACAGAGAAAAGCCCAACAGTTAGTACAAACAGATGTTTTATATATGAAACCAAAAATAAGCAGTTAGACTTAGAATTAACTCTGCGGAAAAACTGTACAACCAGGTTACAGAAGCTTTCAGTGAACAGTAAATAGCTAATGACGTGATTTAAACTATTTACAAAATTACAGACCTTTGTAATCTTCACAAAATAGAAGAATACTGAAATGAATTCCAATGTACCCAAGTAAACAACCATCTCTCTTTGAAGTTGTGTTAAAATGAGGCTTCTTGGGCCAGGGATTTAGCTCAGTGGTTTCGCCGCCTGATGCACAAGCGCAAGGACCCGAGTTCGATCCCCGGTACCAAAAAAGAAAAAGTAAAATGAGACTTCTTGTAAACACATTAGTACTGTACTTATTTATATAAAATAGTTTAAACTTATTATTGATGATATTCACAAATAGTTTATACCGTAAAATATGATTAAGCTAAAAATAGCTTGTTTTACTGGTAAGAAATTTGATAATTTTTAAACATTTGTAGCAATCCAGGATGTTACAAAGAAGGACTCTCATGTATTGTTGGAGGGAATTTACTTTGAGAAAAATCTTTTGAAACAACACACTGTAGACTGCCAGGCTGCATTACTTAAACCAGAGTTTTGCCCAGTCCCCCAGTCTGTACAGTGCTTCTCTAACATGCAGATTCTTATGCAGTCAGTCTAGAGTGGAAATGAGATCTTGCTTTTCTAATTAGCTCCTAGTTGATGTCAATCCTTCTGAACCCTTGGCCACTATTTGAGTAACAATGTTCTGGGTACTTTCGGCTGGTGCAAGTGATACAGGGGAAAATATAACCCCCAACTTGCTAGATGCCAAATATGCTGAGTTCTTGTGCCCTGAAATCAAAGAATGAATTCCAAAACACAAAGGAGGTTAAGAGCAGGAAGGTTTCTTGGGGAACAGGAATAGCTCCTCAGAGACAGGAGAGGACCAGAGATGGGTTGCCAGCAAGGCTCTTTGTTAAGGGATAATTTATACAGCAAAATCACAATGTGGGTACCACATGGGTCGAACTATAATCAACCTATAGGGTTACAAGTATAGCCACTGAGCTAATATTGATCCAGTAGGGAAGCGGGCCACGTAGCAAGGGTACGTGGTAAGAACAAAGGCACTGTTGGGAAGGGATGGGTCTGGATGCTCTGGTCACCTACCTGGGCGACTGATGCCTGGCTGAACTTCCTGAACCAGGTGGTGCTAATTACAGTATAATTCTAGGTTACTGCTTATCCCTTAGGGAGGCATGCAGGCCTGGCCATTGCATCTTCATCTGGAGGCTTGGTCTTCTTCAGATGCCCCTCCAGCCACAATTCTGATGTCTTTATTTTTGGGGGCTGACTTCCTTGAGAGCCCAGTCTCTCTCTGACTGCATATTAATTTCTGTCTAACTTAGCTGCCTATAATACAAGGACTTCTTTACCTGGAATAATTATCTGAATAAATGATAAATAGCAAGCATGGAAGAGATGGTTAGGGAAGGGTCAGCAATGTTTCCTCTTACTTGACTGGAGAGAGGTGGGTACAGGGGCCACTTGCATGGGCTACAGACACTTTCATAAATGAAGAAATCAGATATATACATATATTTTTTTTGGTACCGGGGATTGAACTCGGGTCCTTGCGCTTGCACGGCAGGTGGCGGATGAAGTCAGATTTTTAAAAGCAAGCTACAGAATTACACTTGGAAAAGAGATAGGATACGGTTTGCTCTAGGGTAGGAGGAGGAATGCTTATAAATTTGGTGGACTAATAAATTAATAGATTTTGCTAAGAATTTATTTGTTTCTCCTAAAATTCAGATATATGGAGTAAAGTGGCCTGTATTTTACAGATCATTCTAAGATGTTTTGGAGCATGTAAGTATAAGCTATAATCATAAGTTTCTAATCATAGGAGTGGAGAACTGACTGTTTCCAGAAAAGAGTTAAAAGACAGTTGAAGGTTGGTAGCTTTGAGATAGAAAAAGGAGAAGAATATTCTGAAGGAAGAGAGATTTGCGAGAAGAGGATGGTGCTGGAGAGAGAATAGGTAGAGGTGAAAAGTTTTCTTTCATGATGTTTCTGTTTTTAGCAAAATATGATGGGGTACTCCTGCTAGCTCCTCAAAGAACTGACCTAGGAAGAAGTGCTGAGGTGAAATCTGAAAGGTGGGGGAGAAGAAGAAAAGCATGAGAGCCTTTTGTGGCATGAAGGGAGACGATTTTTTTCTTTTTATTGGTATTTATTAGGGGCAGAGGAGTCAGGGTTTGTCCTCACTATTCTTGATTCTTCTTTCACTCTTGTCTCTGCACATTTTTCACAATTCAGAACTTAGGTTTAAGTATTACCAAAGATAAAACCGGAAATTAGTCAAAAGCTGTAAAAACAGATTGTATTCAGTAACTCTTGCAAGATAGGAAAGAGCTGAGATAATTTTCAATTTGCTCAGTGGTGGCTGAGTGTGTAAAAGAAGAAATCAAGAAGTCGGGAGAAGAAAAGCAAGCAGCTAGAGCAGAGTCAGAGGAGTGAAAAATTACAAAAAGCAGCTAAGAGGTTGGTCAATGAATATGGATTAGATCCTAGTCCTGCTAATTTACACTTAAGGAATTTAGGTTACTAATTTCCCACAACACTGGGAGACAGGTTCCCTATCTTGATGATTAGTTTTTTGTTTGTTGTTTGTTTGAGGTGCAGCGGTTTGGACTGCAGGGCCTAAAACAGGCTAAGCACATTCTTTTCCTTGGAGCTATGCAGCAGCTCTGATGATGGCATTTCAAAGAATCATCTGAGTTCTTTAAAAAAGAAACTCCAAAGTTGTGGGAGGTACATATGCATTTTAAAGGAACAGAGGAAGTATTTAGAATTGCAAGCTTTTTGTTTGTATTTTAAAAAAACAATTAGAGTATTCGAAGAAAGAAAAGTCAAAGACCTATCCTAAGGTGTTGATTTGGCAGCTTTGACCTTTTCCAGACTTAAAATGTGGGGCCCTAGTCTTCCCAGAGACACAGCCTTAGGCAGCCAGAACCTATGACAAAGTTTTATCAAGACCTTTATTTAGAATGGGGGGGGGGGTTGGATGAAGTTATTGTCAAAGTTTTTGCAATCCACAAGAGTAAAATCAAGGCCACTTAGAAACCCCGTGCTGTTGGAGGCTCGAGAAAATTAAGATAGAACTAAACTTCTACCATTCTTTCTTTACCTACGTCCTCTAAACACCAAAGATGAGAGGGTCTTCTGAAGCACTTTCTCTCTGAGGGGTGGGGGGAATGCAAATCGAAGCCAGGATCTATGGGAGCAAAGTAACTGGCCTGATTATAGTTTAGGGATGCCCCTTGCCATCCACATGAGGTCTCATCTACTCCCCACTGAACTTATGCGGAGTGGTGTGTGAATTGGTGATGGCCTTCTCTTTAGGAAATGCTTAACAGGGTAGTCAGTGGGGATTTATCCACATGCCAAAATAGCAAGACATTCTGAGAAGCACAGCTATTTCAAAAGGAAAACATATCCTGGAATGTAGGTTCTGGTAGAAGAAAAAGTATTAGAGGACAAACTAAGATTTCAACAAAATTATTCTTGAAATATTGTGTGTAAAAATATTTGAAATGTAGTGATGAGACAAAGAGCAGAGTACAGAACTAAGAAATTAATTGCTGAATTTGAACACCAGATTAAGGAAATCCTCCGAAAGGTAGACAGATGGGAGAGGAGACCATAAAAGAAAAGGACAATGGGCATGTAAGTGCTGATATTCAGGAAAATGGAACTCAGAGAAATAAAAAAGAGAAAAATATTTGAATACTTATGAATAGCGGATTAACATATTTGAAAGACTTCAAATCAAAAGAGCTCAGAAAGTACCAAAGGGAAGAATTCTAAAAACAATATAGAGGCTGGAGATGCAGCTTAGTGGTGTAGTATATGCTTATCATGTGGGAGACCCAAAACAAGAAAGGTGAAGCAAAGAAATGAAAGAGAAAAAAGAAAACATATCTATATCTGGATATATTATGGTGAAATTTAAGAATTTAAAGACAAAAACAAAATTCTAAACAGAGAAAAGAAAGGACCCATGACATATGCAGTTTAATTGAAAAATGCAGTGAATATTTATATTTTTAAAATTTATTACAGTAAAAGACAGTGCTGTTTATTCAGCTGAAATATCCCTCTTGCTTTGAACACACTTATCCCACCTTTCTTGCCACTTTCTGAGGAAGTCTGGAAGTCCGTTTTTGTGAGTGTTTACTTTTCATGGTTATTTTGATGTGGGGAGAGCCTGAAGTCACATGATGCCATACCCAGTGAGGAAGGTGGATGAGGACACTGTAATGTTTTAATGAGCCTCTTTTCCATTGGATGGCACTGGGTGCAGCATTCACTGTATTTCTGATCACACCTCCAAAAAGACACACAAAAGAGGACTTCCAGAACTGCTTCAGAAAGTGTCAAGAATAATGAGACAAGTGTGTCAAAATGAAGGGGATTATTTTGAGGGGGGTTAATGGCAATGTGTCTTTTGCTGTAGTTTTTAAAATTCAAACATTCATGGTATATTTCAATCATATCTTATAGATTAGAAGGATCAGATTGATGTCAGATTTTCAACACTGGCTACAAGTTGATCTTATCCAAGGACTGAAGGAAAATCAACTTTGAGATAGTATATATTGAACAAAGTACACTCAAATAAGAGGATATGATAAAAGTATTCTGAACCATATAGTATTTCAAAAGCTTGGCTCCACAAAGATGCGTTTAAAATGCTTTAAGATAAGTACTTAACAAAACAAAGAAATCTAGATTTGTTGTAAGAGATGTATGAAGTAAAAGTGATCAAATAAATACCTTAATAATGGTCATTATGATTTAAAAATACTAACAAAGAGAAAGAGAAAATACATTCATAAAACCCAAGAGTTTATAGTCTAATTCCACGACTCAAGTTTATTACGACTATGAATACC